CATATTTATTCAAATATCAAAATATTACTCCAAGTCTTTCAAAGTTTAATTTCAATCCTTACTAAAGTGTAAAGTTGTGTTTTAATCTTAAAATGTTTTTTAAACAATTTTCACAAAGTATTTCGAACAAAAAATGAGCCAAAAATTCAATTTTCAAAGAGATGTACTGATGCACTAGTCCATGCATCGATGCACTAGTCCATGCATCGATACACTCTCAATTAAATTGAATTTTGAATGCATTTAGTGTACCGATGCACTCTCTATGCATCAATGCACTCTTGAACAAATAGAAACATCAAATGCATTCAATGCACCGATGCACAAGCTATGCATCGATGCACTCAGGCTATTTTAAAACACCGAATGTATTTTATGCATCGATACACCCACAATGTGCCGATGCACTAAGTCTTCCAACGCTCGAAATATTTGAATTTTACACATAGTGTACCGATGCACTAGCCCTATGCATCGATGCACCATACGCTCCCACCTGTTTTATTAATTGTTTTCACACTTAAACGGATCTATTGACTCCACTAATCATCCCCAACGTTCAGAATCAATTGAAGGATTATTTAAGCAAGCTTAGAAGCCATTGATCAATAAGAAGAAACAACAAGAAACAAGAATCAAGAGAGAAAGCATCAAACCTCAAGTTTAAGCATTTTCAAGCCTATTTCATTCAATATTCATTTTTTCTTTCAAGAACACTTATTGTGCTCAATTGTATTATTCTTGAGTGTTCTTTATTTGTTCTAGAATTGTGCAAACATCTTGCCTTGTGAGGATTTTCTTGTAAGTTTGCAAAATTTGTATTGTTCTCTTTGGGAGAGAGTGTGCTCAAGAATTTGGGGTATAATTCTTGAGGGATTTGTAAGGTTACTCTTTGTCCTCAAAAGAAAGACAAATTAGTGAATTTGTGGAAAATCCTTAGTGTGGATAGCTAAGGTAGTGGACGTAGACTTTGGTTGAGAAAGTCGAACCACTCTAAATCGTTGTACAAATATTTTCAATTTTCTACAAAATCTTCCACCGAAATTTTAATTGCCAATTCACCTCCCTCTTTGCCATATTCGTCGATCGATTAACTCAACATGCCAATGTCATGTTTTACAAATATGTTTAAATATATTTTTGATTCTGATATGATTTTTATCAAATGATTACGTAATGAACTAAAAGCCCACTGTATGTTATATGGAGAGTCAAATGTACAATTGACATACCATGAGATGGAGTGATTATCTGTTTTGATTCTGATATATTGTGGTGTACCGAAGTGTACACTAGTATATATATTCTGATATGAATGCACTTTGTGTGCATATTGTTATTTCTGATCTGGTAGCATTGTGTGTGCTTATCTGTTCCGATTCTAATGATGGCACTAACATCTGTGTTGCGCACACTCGTCTGACTCACGTACCTTATATTCTCTTAAAATATACTTTGTGATATAAAAATGAAATATGAAAGTTCTGAAAAAGTGTTTGACTATAAAAGAATGTTGACTAATTATTCTGTCTGGTCTAATTTATTATGATTTTGTGAAAATCATCAGATGATTTTCTTCATGTTTCTGATAAAAGGATCAGCTTGAGATGTCTGGTTTGAATATTCTAAAAGTTCTATCTGTTTTATTTTAAATAATTTTGTATATGTCAATATTTTATTTATTTGTTCTCACCTTTAATATTATTGTCTCACTAAGTTATACTTAGCGCGTGATGATTTTCATGCGTAGGGACTGATTGAGATACAGACGTTTTGTGAGGAGCCTCCCAAGCATCATTTGCATATCATCTATAATACCAGTATCAGTAAGACATCGTTGATGTTTCTTTTACTAGTAGTTGCATGCATATTTATGTTATCAGTCTGCTTTATCAGTTTTGACTAAATGGTCTATAATAGTAAATTAAGACTATTTAATTTGACTAATTTCGTTTATCAGTATTTGATATACATAAATTGTGTTACGTAAGTTCAAGTAGATATAAATAGGTTTAAAAGTTGAAAATATGAATGTTTTAAAAGAAACTAAATTTTAAGCAAATGTGGATAGTGAATAATAGTCAGTTGAGGTGACATCTATGGCTCGTATTCTTAGATGTTTACGAGCTATGAGTGTTACAAATATCATGGTTGGAAAAATGATTTTTAACCTAACTTCATAAGCTAAATTTCTAGCTTTTGTCGTGGAAAATTTCTTTTGGATGAAATTATATTTTTATCTTCAAATATAATATTTCCAATTTACAACATAATATCTAAAATAAACATTTTATCTTTTTAAAATTATTTTTAACAATAATTTCAAACAATTAAATTTTAAATTATATTTTTTTAAAATATTTTTAAATGTACTTTTTTACTATACTTTTAAAATCATTTTTCAAAATCGATATAAAAATACGACATATTCTTCGATACATTAGTTAAAATTTGAGAGATGTGCAAAAGAAAATGAGAGAATTTGTTTATGCAGGACTTTATTGAACTATTGAAATAATTTCAATTAAATTACTCCATCGATGATAACGATTTTTTTTAGAGATTGATTTGTCATTTTAAATTTGACTATGATTTTTTTAGAGGTGAGAGAATGTTACAAGCATAACAGAGGTAAATTGTAATTTATTTTAGATAATTTTTTAAAGTTAATTTTTTAAGTTTAGAACATGAATTGACTTGTGATGATTTTTCAAAAGGAATTGATGTATTTCTAGATTAATAGGTCTTCTCATGTTTCGAATTCAGTTAATTTTTTAGCGTATCTTAAAATATTTTGCCTGAATATTAAGAACTCGAGATGTGTCCATTTTAATGAAAAAATTGTATGCAAAAAACTTGATACGGTCCAACACAATATTTTTTAAATTATTATAATTATTTAATTATTGTATTGATCATTTATAATTAAATTTATCCCAAAATTTTCCATTATTTAATTTAGATAATTAGGTCTGTTTTGTGCTTAAGTAAAGGCATTGCTTTCTTTTCAAATAAATCTTGCACCAATATAAAAGATACTATGTTTTTTCTTCTATTTATAAGGGTTTTTGAAGTTCATAAATTGACACTCTTCCTATGTATTCTTCGTCTTATAATTAATAAAAATGTTTCCTTTAGGAAAGAAATTTCTTTTCAGTGTTCAAAATTTTCATCTTGTTTTTGCTTTGAATGCAAAAATTCAATTGTATTGCAACGTGTTGAAGTGTTTTGCTTCTCCTATAGGTTGCCAATGAGAGATATCCTTGGAGGATTAGACATCTATATTTACTAGCTCAAAGCCTCACCTGAGTTGATATGAAATATCTTTAAAGGGCTAAGGCGTTTGATCCATCTAGGTATATGTTCTTAACAGGGGCGTCGGCATGACGGAGCCAGAATTAAACAATGAGGGGTAAATAATTTAATTATAAAATAAATAAGATCTTTAAAATTGAATAAACTATAAAATTTAAAGGAGTTATAGTTTAATTTCATTATTTTTAAAATTGAAGGATCTTAAAGAATATTTATTTAAACTAAAAAAAATTAGAGATCGAGATATAATTTTATTTAAAAACTGAAAAGGTCCTAAAACTAATATTACTTTAATAGTATATATATATATATATATATATATATATATATATATATATATATATATATATGAGATAAGATCTTATTACAAAATGTAAAACTCTTTTAGTTTTATATAGATTTAAGATAGTTGAATGAGTGGAAATCGATTATTGATATTAACAGTAAAAATGAGAATATATTCAGTGGGAAAAAAACAAGGAGTTAATCTTTGCTATTTATTTTCACTTATTCAACGTCCTAAATCTGTGTGAAACTAAAATAAGTTTACATTGTGTAAGTAGAACCTAACATATATGAGATAGAATCTTATTGCACATTATAAAACCCTTTAAGTTTTACAAAGATTTTTAGGACCTTTAGATGAATGAAAATAGATAGTTGAGATTAACTCTTAGAAATGAGAAGATATTCACTATAAAATAAAAATAAGAATTTAATCTCAACCATCTATTTGCACTTATTCGACGTCCTAAATTTATATATAACTACAAGAATTCTACATCGTGTGAGTAAAATCAAACTCTATATGAAATATGATCTTATTACACAATGTAAAACTAAACCCAACCCAATCCTATCCGGAAGAGGTCTAAATTCAAATCCAATCCCCACGTTTCTTGTAAACAAAGAAGTTCTGGTAGTTGGGATAATATTAGTACTCCAATAATGGAAGGCATGAAAGGAGAGGGATTTTTGCCGACGCCATAACACTAAGATCATGCATGTCCTGAAGACGACGTAAACAACAAAGTCAACTTAAATTTCGTGTTTAAACAATTAGAGATTCATTCAACAACCCCTAAAGCAAGTTTTTATCGTATTGTTTATGTCAGTTAATCTATAACTGTGTTGGACGGCTTCTGTTCCATCTTGACTCAAGCAAATGCCACTTGCTTTGATTCGGCTATTCTCCAAAAGCAGAAGGACTTTTCGTAAACCCCTTTGACTAAAGCCCAAATCCACTTCCCCCTTAAACTACGGCCACTCGTTGTCAAAGTCTCAATTCTAGGGCGAGCGAAATCAACTCGATTAAAAAAATTGAATTTTCTATTCGATATTAAAAATTTTGGTTTAACTTGAATTTATTTGTAATTTTATAAATTTAAATTAATTAAAAAAATTAAATTCGAGTCAAATTATAAAATATAATTTAAAAATTTTTAACCGAGTCGAATAGCCTAGTCAACTCCCATTGCCAATTCCACCATTGATTATGGTAAGTAATCTTAACCAAATCAAAAGGAAGCCTCTTTGGTCACGTTTTTTGACCTCCTCTTGAATCTTTTTTTATATAGTTCCTTTTCTGTTTTCATTTCTTTCTGTATATTTTGTTTCCATCCAATCGCTCCGTTTTCATCGCTCTGCTTCTTTTCTTTCTTCCTTTATTATAATTTCTTTCCTTTTTTCTAAAAAAAGAAATGAACCCCGACCCACCGAAAGACGTCGCCGTCGATGATGATCGGAAGACCAATGTTGATGGACCCGCCACGACGGATGATCGACTCGGAGTTGAATTCTCTGATGTCCAGATTGATACGAACAGCTGTGGAAAGGAGAAGGAAGATTTTAGTTCTGATTCTGAGGTTAACAAAATCAACCACTCCAACGCTAAGCAGGAGGTTAATCTCAATGGTAGTAATGGCTATAGCAATTACATACCATCCATCAAGGCTCAAGCTCAGTTCCCGAAACCGCAGCCACCGTCGGAGGTGCCTACACAGTCGGTATCCCTAACCGAAAGCATGCCCAGCTTAGGGAAATACATCAGAGACCGAAGCAGCACTTTCTCGGCGGCTATCATGAAACGTTTATCGTCGTTAAAGGAAGACGGCGAGGATATTGTTGTGAAAAACGATTCGTTAAACTTCGAGGTGACGGAGGTTCAAATCCCCGGGGTCAAAGTCATAGTGAAACTGAAAAGCGAAGACGATAGATTCGATTTAAAAGGTCGAATAACGTTTTTCTCGAGGTCTAATTGTCGAGACTGCACCGCCGTTCGGAAATTCTTCAGAGAGAAAAGGCTACCGTACGTCGAAATAAACATCGACGTATTCCCCAAAAGGGCGAAGGAGTTGATCGAGAGAACGGGGAAATCTGAAGTGCCCCCGATATTTTTTAACGATAAGTTGCTGGGCGGATTGGTGACGTTGAATTCGTTGAGGAATAGTGGGGAGTTGGAGAAGAGAATGAGGGAATTGTTGAGCCAGAAATGTCCTGATTCAGCTCCGAAAATTCCGGTTTATGGATTCGATGACGATGAAGAAGAAGAAGAGAACGATGAATTGCTGGGGATTGTGAAGATGCTGAGACAGAGTTTGCCGATTCAGGACCGTTTGATTAAGATGAAGATCGTCAAGAATTGCTTCGCCGGTGATGATATGTTGGAAGCCATCATTCACCATCTTGACTGCGGCAGAAGAAAGGTAATTTATTTATTTATTTCTCAATTATCTTTTGCTTGATTAGTATTTGAATTCTCACTTAAATGAAACCACTATATTTGATAATAAATAGTGAAAATAAATTAGATATAATTATCATATTAATTTATGAGTTAATTGCATCATATATTTTCAAACTATAACTTTTATTTTGATTGATCTTTAATTTTTTTAATATTCTAATTTCACCCCCAAACTATGACACTCATTTTAAATTAATCCTTAAACTTTTGAATATTCTTCTATTGTCATCCTTAAACTATGACTCTCTTACTAAATTGGTCCCTAAACTTTTGAACATTCTAATTTTATCCCCAAATTATCCAAATACGTAATTAGTTTCAACCATAATTTAACCTAAATTTTGTTTTTTTCAAACATATAACAATATAACTTGGACTAACGATTTTATTAACAAGGGATGTGATTAGTATATACATATAATTTAGGATAAAATTGGAATATTTAAAAAGTGTGAAGAGCAATTTAGAATTAAGGTTATAATTTTGGGATGAAATTGATATATTCAAACGCTTGAGGACTAATTTAGGATGATAATCATAGTTTAAGGATGAAATCGGTACATTGACAAGTTTAAAAACCAATATTAAAATAAGGGTCATACTTTGAGGACATTTGATTCAATTAACTTAAAACTATATATTATTGATATATATTTTATTTTATCTATAGAGCAGACCAACACGTTAAACCACATACGACACTAATGATGGATTGCACGATGGGAGGTGTGTGCAACTATGATCGCACTCGCCCACAACTCTTAAATCATCATCATTTATCTAATTTGTTATTACAAAATTAAAAAACAAATATTTTTTCATATTTAATATTCTAAAAATATTGTTTAACAAAGTTTTATAACTATTATTGTTGAAGAGGGATGAGATGATGATGATAATTATTATTGATTATACTACATATTAAGCACTCATTATAATAGGTTAGCAACATGCCTTGAGTTTTGCTTAATAGGTCTTTTTACATGCATGGCATCTCTCTCTTATCTCATAAGTAGATTTGTATGTGTGTATATATATAATATCAAGCGTGTGTTGCTTGGGAGCATTCGTATGATTACAAAGCATGGAGATTGGGTACATTTAGGGATAGTTATGAGTCGAAATATGTCGGACTTTTGATGTATTTAAATTTGGTTCGGATATTATATTTTTTCGTTTATATTCGTTTTGATTTGAGTTTAGAGAAATTTTAATTAACTTAAAATTTGATCTATATTTTAGAATAAAATCTCACATCCGACTAGACATAATTCTATTTTTGTTAGATAGGATATGGACTTAATTAAAAAATAATAGAGATATTATTATAATTATCTTAAAATGCATAAAAGATAATTATAATATTATCTCCGTATGGATCAAGTCGGAATTTTTTTTCCTTAAATCCAAACTTGATTCAAATTATTTAAAAAAATCGATACAATTTGATTTTTTTTTTTTAAAGTTATCCTATAAACTTAAGATAAATTGGAACTCATCAAATTCATGTCAAATACAAACATTGCTCAAAAGCGTTTAGTCAAGGCAAAAACTGTACATAGCATTTTTTATTTTATTTTATTTTTCTCTATGAATTACTATCTTTTACCCATTCGTTTAATGTTTGAAGCAGAAATCTGGGTAAAATCGAATCCACGTTTATATCCAACGAATGACAATTATTTCTTTCGCAGTTGGATGTTCACAGAGGCCCTACTCGATTTAAATACCAAAGTTCTAGGCTTTTTCTTTCATCATTTTAGTGGTCCTAAATTGAATTACTTGTTCTACTTTTCTCATTTTACAGGGAGTCGAAACTGCCAAACATATTGCCCGGAAGCATTTCATCAAACACGTTTTTGGGTACAAACATCCTCTGTCTCACTCTACTTCCAATCATTTATGTCACCATTAAATATTTGTATCAGACATATATTCATATTTGAAATTTATTCGATATAACATACTTTTTCTTTGAATCGACTGAGGTAATTATAATGTAGTATTTCTTCAGAATCTTTCTTAATTATTAACAATGCACACATAACTTACTGACACAACTACTAGAATTCAGAACCTCTAAGGAAAACAACATTTGCTTTTACAACATTCTATATAAAAATACTTGATGATTATAATTTTGCACTTGTATATGATTTTTATTTTATCACATGGTGCAGGGAAAATTATTTTGAAGACGGGAGACATTTTTATCGTTTCCTGGAGCATGAGCAATTTATTACAGCATGCTTCAACTTCCGAACCGCAATAAACGATAGCGAGCCCAAATCGCCATCTTTTCTAGCTGACAGGCTTGCCAAGTTGATGTCCGCCATACTCGAAGCATATGCATCTGATGACAGGCGCCATGTTGACTATTACAGAATCGGCAAAAGTGAAGAATTCCGCAGGTTTATATATATATATATATTTCCTCCTTTTTCAGATTACTTAAACATTAACATGTAAAAATCATCGATTCTCCATGCCTTTGATGCAGATACTTAAATTTGACTCGAGATCTACAAAGGGTCGATCTCCAATTACTAGCTCCAGAAGAGAAACTAGCCTTCTTCTTGAACCTATACAATGCCATGGTCATCCATGCTGTAGTTGCCATCGGACATCCTGAAGGAATACTTGATAGAAGAGCATTTTTTAGTGATTTCCAATATGTAATCGGAGGGTACCCTTACTCCCTCAGCATTATACAGAATGGGATCCTCAGAAACAATAGAAAATCGCCTTATTCCTTAGTCAGGCCCTTTGGCAATGGAGATAGGCGCTTACAGGTAACCCCCCTTAGATAATCTGCCTCACTTTTTCGCTTCATAAACCAATGCATGATTGACTTGGCTCTTCTTTGTCTTCTTAAATTGATAGTTTGCTCCAGATAAAGTTAATCCGTTGATCCATTTTGGACTATGCAATGGAACAAGGTCAAGCTCCCCAGTTAGGTTTTTCACTGCTCAGGGTGTCGAAGGTGAGCTAAGATCTGCTGCAAGGGAGTACTTCCAGAATGGAGCCATACAGATCAATTTGGACAGGAGAATAGTTTATTTAACTCGGATCATCAAGTGGTAAGTTTCCGATATATGTCCGACACGAGTATACAGTTTCGAGACGCACGAGTTAAATCGGTGGCATCGAAATTGACCCCAGGCATCCCTTTTTTTTCACCTTGACACAGGTTTAGCGCAGATTTTGGAGCCGAGAAAGATGTGCTGAAGTGGGTGATGAATTACGTGGATTCAACCAAGGCGGGGCTTTTGATGCATCTCTCGGCTGATGGAGGCCCTATTAACATCGTGTACCAGGATTATGATTGGTCTGGTAATTTATAACTCCCCAACCTTATTTAAGATTGTTCGTTGTTGAACCATTTTTTTTTTGGAGATGAAATGCGATCACTGGAACAAAACAATAGAACGAAGCTGCAACTATAATGAATGGAAGAGTTTTAAAGGTCTAATGAGGGACCAGTTTCCGGCCTTCAGCAAAGGCTTCAAAGGCAGGAATTATATATATATATATATATAATATATTATATGAATTCCAACAATGTGTTTTGTTAGATAGGAAAGAAGGAAGAGCTCTTGGCATGTTTAAACTTTTTTTTTTCCAACGACATTTGAAAGTTGAAATCATGGAAGTGAGAGTTGTGTCATAACTATTACGTTAACTCTTTAAAAGATACAATGATAAATTGACATCGCACATTAACTCTTTAAATTTGTATAACATATATTTTGCATTTTTATTTAAATTCCTCAAAAAATAAATTTTAGTTTTTATACTTTAACTCTTTAAAAGACTCGTTATCTTATAGGCAATATCGTCCAATTTAATTAAAATTGACAAATACTTAAGAAATTGATGGAAATGATATTATCACCATTTGTATAAAAAGAATCTTGTCGTTGGTAATGATCTTCTTCTTATGGTGAGAATCACTCTAAACTATTGAAATCAAACATAAAATAACTTTTTTTAAAAAATAGAATCCAATAATGACATTTTATGTGAACCAAACGTTCCCTTAATTTCAACTTCCACCATCTTCACTCATCAGCATGCCACAATCAACAATACAAAACCCATCATCATCATCAACACTGCCAACTCTCAACTTAAGACTAGAGGTTATATTGATAAATGAACTTAAACTTTAGGGGTTATATTGGATATTCTGAAAGTCTAGAGGTCATATTAGAATAAACCTCAAAGTTTAATGACCTCGAACGAGAGTTTGTTCTAGGCTCTTAGGAGTGCATCCCACATCGGGTGGAGAATAAATTGACAATGCTTGCAACTATTATAAAAGGGAGTATGTCAAGCTATTTTTGCGCTTGGGGCAATAAAGCAGCTAATGAGGTTCTAACAATGTGTGTCTATTGCTCTGGTTGAAAACTATTTCCAAACCCCCTCTTAAACCTGGGTTCAGCTCTAGCCTTTGAGAATTTCTGGTAAAGTCTTACAATTATTTTATAATTAAAGTTGAGTTTGTGTTCCATTTTATAATTTAAAGTTGAATTTAGTTTGTGAGTTAGATGAGTATGAGTTTTATTTTGTAATTAAAATTTTATTTGAATTTAGTTTACAAAATTTGAATTAAGTTATAAATTGTTTAAGATTTTATTAAAATTTAATTATAAAATTGATATGATATGATATCAATTGATTTAAAATTAAATAATTGTCTATAATATATATATATATATAATTTTTATATTTTTTTATATGTAAGGTGGAGAATTTAAATGATTTTCTATAATAATATATATTTTTTATATGTAAGATTCCACTTGAACTTAAAAATTAATTTATTAATCACTAATTTTTTTGAATTATTCGAGTCATATTTATAACTTCAAACTATTTAATTCTTTTAATTCAAATTAGGTAGAGTCAGTTTTTAACGTCATATTGAAAATTTTGATTTTTTAACTAAATTGAGTTTCGTTTAACTTATTTTGTTCAAAAATGGAGAAGTATATTAAATATCAATAACATCGGATTATTAATTATAACCACATCGGATCGGTTCTTGACAAAGTCCCATGAGTAAGTTTATGTGCCACTCGGTTAACTTCTTGGTGAACATATTAAACTATGAACTTCGGGAAGAAGCAAGAAAAATGCGTGCCTTGTTGAGCATCAATTCGAATATCGAAATGTTCCTATTTGGCCTAATCAAGTAATTAACAATGGAAATGGCATCCCCTTCAATAGTCGCGGAGTCCCAATCATTCTTAGCAACCATGCGGATATCCATAGTGAATTCGACAGCCTCCACTGATTCAGCTGTGTGAGTAGCAGTTAACTTCTGCGCCACCCCACAAATAATCATTTCGTGACGGTCTCTTGCGACCACTCCAATGATTGTTTCACCGGTAACCGAAAGAAAAGCCCCGTCAACATTTATCTTAACGGTTCCAGTCATAGGCTTTGTCCAAAGTCTATGTGGTCTCGTTTGAATCTTGCTGAAATTTTGAGCTTTGTCGTGTGCCTTCTTGAATTCGGTTCCTAAAGTCCACGCCATATTCACCACATCTCTAGAGAGCTCCTTGTCATGCACTCATTTATTATGTCGATTTCAGATGCTCCCCCAGGAGCTGGGAAGCGTTGAAAACCCTTCCCTATCAAGAATGAGCACCAAGCCTTCAGGCCATGCTTTACTTGAAGAAGCTTGCATCTCCACATCTCCACGGTTTAACCCCAAAAGTGCCAAAATCTCCTTCACCTTTGAGCAATCTTTGAGAGCGTAGATTACTGTCTCTACCTCACTGTCTCTGCCGAGAGTTTGAAGCCAGTGGGCAGTGCTTCATGGCACGCACGTCATCCAAGAAGTTTGATTTTCGACAACATGGGCAACTTCGAAATAATCTTCCATATCAGAGATCGATTCTTTTCGGTTCCAGCTTTCAATAGCAACCAGTTGTACCCGGATTTAGAGGAGTAGAGGCTTGAATTATGATGCTCCCATAAGAGTTGATCTCCCACTTGGGGGTGATAATAATGCCCAAAATCAACTTTGCATCATGTTCTTGAAAAGTCTGGCAGACCTTATTTTCATCCCGCTGAGCAACTCCTTGAACCATGAAGTCACCACACTTTGTAGGCTGCTCAATATTATCCACGTACGTGCATGTTTTTTTATTAATCTTGATAAATACAAGACTGTCTATTCAAAGATTAATTTTAACCATTTGAAATTAAACACTTACACCCTTAACATACATGATGCTCGAACCCAAAACTTCAAAAAATAATAATTTCTTTATCACCAAAATCATCTATACGTGTTAGTTCCACCGGATGGGAGCCTCCACAGTGACAAAGATGCTAAGGTGTGAGGCTTTACTGTTTAAAAAATATTTTAAAAAAGGCATAAAAGTGTGTATTTTCGGACCATGCCGAGACTTTCCCTCCGATTTCTCCCGCCACTTACGAGACAGTAAATATATAATACCAAATGAAAACCTAAACATTGTAGAGAAGATCCAGATGGAGAATGCGAATTCAGCTCCGACTGGTTGCTACAAATGCGGAAGAACCGGCCACTGGTCTCATGACTGCCCCGACGCCCTCAAATCGGACCATCTCAATCCCAGAAGAGTCGGCTCCGACAATCCAAATTCCGTCGGAAAGGGTTGCTACAAGTGCGGAAGACCGGGACACTGGGCACGTGACTGCCCCGGTATCGCTAAACCCGATCAACCCAATCTCAACGCTTCCTCCGGCACCGACTTTACTTCGAATCCGCTTCCTAGACCCGAAAAGCCCAAGAAAGTAGCCAAAAGCAGAACCCGACCCAAGCTCACACCCGAACTTCTCCTCTCCGATGATGGTCTCGGTTACCTCCTTCGCCACTTCCCTCGGGCTTTTAGGTATCGTGGTCGCGGTCACGAGGTAGAATACTAGATTAATCGTCTTTCTATTAAATCGAAATGATTGTTCTTCATTTTACCAAATTTGGGGGACATTTAATTAAGCTTTTATTTTGTTTTTTGTTTTTAGGTCAGTGATTTGGGAAACTTAATTGAGTTGTTCAGAGAATGGCACAAGCATTTGATCCCATATTACTCTTTCGATCAGTTTGTACATAAAGTGGATAAAGTTGCTTCTTCCAAACGTGTTAAGGTAAATCATTCAACCTTTAATTGTAGTGTTTAATGACTTGTTACTGAAATTAGGGTACTTAATTTTTTGTTTCAAGGGTTTAAAGTGCCAAAATTTACGTGATTATCTACCTCGTAGCTTTGGGTTATTGAAATATTACCGATTGAGAGTTCTCCTAAGCTATAGGCAGACTTAGATGAACTGTAAACTTAAATATCATTATGTGTTGGAATTTGCTTTAGGATCCGCTTACACTGGTAGCGGAGTTAATTCTGAAGCATATATACACATACTTCATTTGCTGCATATCTTTTGGGCAGAATTGTATTAAAGACTTGAGAGAACGAGTTGCTAGAGGAAGGGATCCTACAAAATTGCATGAAAGTCCAGATGAGTTTAACCCTCCCACTGATGAGCAAGGTACGCTAGCAATTCTTTTGTTTTTAACACATTCTATTTCCATGTCGCTTATTTCATTGCTCGAGGCATAAATATTATATTGTGCTTAAAGGGAACAAACTAAGCATCCGTTTTTAGTTGTAGTGGCCGGACGGACTGGGGGACAAACTCATGACCACCATGAAGGAGATCATGTTGATGAGATTCAAGAAAGTATGAGTATGCTTAATGAGATTTACCAGAAGGTTTCTGAGGTAACCATATTGCTTTTAGCTTTGGTTCTTCTAGTTATAGTTGTGCAGTCACTTCTCAAGTCCATAGTTAGTAGTGTTGAGCTCTTTATTGAAGAATTATAAAGGAAAATCGTTACTATGTACCCTAGATATCAATAGCAAAATACTAATAAAGCAATAATTGATGGTATGCTTCCTATGGCTTTGGTGACTGTTTTTCTTTTATTAGATTGCTGCTTTGAGATTTGTGTTTGTCAAGCCTGTTAATTGTCGAATTTGTATACAGAATACCCGTATATCAATGCAATTTTTACATTAAATGGAAGTAGTCTTTTAGCTATAAGGAAGTATTTATGTTCATATATGCTGAGAATATACATCATTGTGCCTAATACGACCTGGCTGCCAGTAGAAATGTTTTATTAGGTTAATTCACGATTCTACCTAATGGTTAAATATAACGGACCTGGATCGATGGATGAGTGAAAATAGACGGTTGAGATTATCTCTGTTTTTTTTCCATTGAATATTTTTTTCATTTTTTACTATTAATCTCAGTTATCTATTTTTATTCGTCTAACGACCTTAAAAATGTGTAAAAACGTTTTATACCGTGCGAGTGGATCTTGCCATATATATATACACGGCCATTTCGCTTCACAATTCTTTCAGGTCATTTAAAGATGCTGCTGCTTGTGGACGAGTTAATTCATTTTATAAGATCCTAGTTTAATAATGATATGTTATGGACTGTTGCTATCTTTTTAATTCTGGATGTGATGCTAATGTTAAACGATACTATATTCTTGTCATTGACCATAGGAACCATCTCATGACATACACACCCCTACGGTTGCCGCTGAAGCACTTGCAGCTGGTGACTCCGGGCCACATGAGCAAATGCCAAATAAGGAAACTAATTGCTCTACTGAAATTCATATTACAGAAGAACAGAGAGCTCGGATGGAAGCTAACAAGGTTAAGGCACGGGAGAGAGCTGCAGCTGCCTCTAGTGTTGGAATCACAGAAGAGCAGCGTGCTCGCATGGAAGCTAATAGGTTAAAAGCACTAGAAAGAGCTGCAGCCAGAGTTCATTCTTTGCACTCAGCTTGACTGTTAACTGTCAACTATAATTGTTTTTTTTCCTTCCCCCCCCCTTTTTTTGTGCATTGCCCTGAATGAAAATCCCATATGCAGACAATTGTGGTATCTTACGCTTGTCAGTTCAAGGTTTTGTGCATTGTAGTAGAAAATGCCTTCCTCTAAATGCTACCGCAGGTTATGGTGAACTAAGATTTTTATTTTCGTGTCTAGCCAGATTTTGCCACCTCTTTAACCCAAGCTTTGGTTTTCAATTTGCTATAATCTCCAGGTTTCATGAGTATAATGCATAGCTATGGATGTAGAATGTAAGAAACTACAAAAATGAAGCCTACTGATTAACGAAAGCCCAGCTGAAATTGATCTGATCAATCATTCTAATTGATTTAGTACGGGTACAGGAAGATATTAACTCAAACACTGATTAATCAAGAAACAAATAGGATCTACCCCAAGGTATAGCAAATTATAAAAATTATACGCATGAAGCTTCAATGCACAATTCAGCCGAATCTGTTAAGAGATTATAAGTATCTGAGTTCGTCTTATATGCTGCTTGGATTTCAAATCTGGAGGGTGAAAATTTTGGGTTCCAAAAATGGAGTCTGCAAATTTTCCATCGTGGCATCCAGTGTTATGAGCGTTTGTGTACACAAAAGGAAGAACATATCCTACCAGCTTCTTATGGATCTATCATCAGAAAATTGTTTGTAATTTATATAGATCAGATATATCCAACCTCAATCTCAACTATCCCCTACATCATCTTGACTCCGGCATGAGATCAATCCCGCTTGGTGAGCTAAAAATCCTCGACTGGATATAGGAGAAAAATAAAACAAGGTAACACAAAAATGTAGACAAGTATGTATCATAAAATACAGTTTTTTAATCTCTTAGGGATTGAGTAGATCATTTTATAATCATTGCTTAATTTCTCAAACATTTGCAGGGCAACTAGTTTCCAGACATTAAATCTAATAATAGATGATTATGAGGAACCGAATCGAGGGTTGAACTCGAGATTTAAAATTTAACCCCACCCCCTACACCTTTGTTCAAATGTAAGATGAACAACAAAATTCTATAATGCAGTCAAGTATCCACTTTATCTGATCAAATTACACACTAAGATGACTAGATGCCAGGTTCATCAACAAAGAGACAAAACCATGACGCTACTGGAACGATGGGGAATGACAAGAAGGATACTTTGCCAGCTGACATGCTAGCCAACAATTAGAAGATACTGCAGTTGCAGATGTAACAATTGAGATGGCATGCAATACTATATGTGTTTGATTAGAAGAATTTATAGAACAATGAGCTGGTCGAGGAAAACGAGATTTGCAGCACTTGCAGTAACATGATATAAAACCAGGAAAAGGATTAACCAGATACCTGTGATATACTTAGGTAGAAAGGTGATACTACAAGGTCAAAATAGTAGTCATGCTCAGAAATGAAGTTTGAATGCCAGAAACAGGCTAATGCAAAATTGAATGCAAGACAATAAAACACTAAACAATATTGATATTTTATATGAAGGGATAGACTGCTTCACACTAGGGTAACACGTTCATGATCATGCCAAGATGTTCGGTGAATAGGCAATTGAAAGTGAATTCTTGTGGAAATAGAAGATACCTGCAACAGAAAGGACAAAGGGACACAAGCGATGAAGATGGCAGATCCTCACTAGAATGGGAGTAGGGGAGTTAAATTTTAATCATTTTGGAAGAGCATACAGGATGTTCTATTTGCAGTTACATATAAGTACAGGTCAACGTAGAAAGGTTACACTCTCAACCAGCATATATAGGCTTTGAATGAAAACTATATAAATTTAAATGTAACCTACCTGAGTTGCAGCAGGCAAGATGCAATTTGCTAAATCATCATTAACAGATACAGGCAATGGTGGCATCTGGCTCATTAAACCCGGCATACATCTCATGCTGCAAAAAGTCATTGTAGAAATTAAAAACCTGAAGCTTAGGCAACAATGAACACAAAACAAAACCAAAATGATTGCCACAGAGCATCAATCACCAACTAATAATTATAAAGATCCACGTACTCATTTAGAATGGCGGTAATATTGTTCCTTGTGTGATAAAAGAGATTAATATTTTCCTGCAACTGTTCATACAAACTGTACTTAATGAGCCAGCCTCAGAAGACTTTCAAAAAGAGCCCATATATGTTATGAGGTGATCACATACAAGATTTACATAAGCACGTAAAAAGAACAAGAATAAATTGAACTATCTATACGTAAGACAGCTTTAAAAGGTGTCTATCCTGATTCTTGAACAAGAACCATGACTTTTTTATTATATGTAAATCCATTCATCATTTAAGGGAATAATTGTCACCTTACTTAACCTCTTCAATAAGAACTGTGACATCCTTATCATGTGCAAATTATTTCATTCATCATTAAATGGAATAGTTGTCAATCTATCTAACCTCTTGAACAAGAATAATTACTTTTTATATGCAAATTCCTAATATTTATTATTTAAAGGAATAGTTGTCACCTTATTTAATCTCTTGAACTTGACACAAAAAACTGACATAACCAGCAGACACCATTGAAATATAGGACAAACAAGAAGACAAGGTATTCAACTCATCTTACACCTATAATTTACTGTATGCTTTCATATTTTCCAAAGACCGATTGCTGTAAATTAAGGCATGATATACTCACCTTATATGCAGAAAGGTTAGATGTGATTTGACTAAAAGCTTGAGAATTTTGCTTCAAAAGTTGCATAGTTGTGCCAGTTATTCCTGAAAATTCACAACAAACACATAGCAATGCTGTTAAGTTCAAGCTTATCCTCCAGAAAAATTGTTTTACCTTGTCTCGTGAACTCTATTGTGTTTGAAGTCACTCCTCAATCAAGTTCTAAATGCACTGGCCTGCTCACCACACTCATTTTAGAATAATATAGTTAATATCCCAGAAAGAAAAGATATAACGAATACAAATGTTGACTTTGACATATTGTGCTACAATTTGATTAAATACTTCCAACCAAAACCTTTTCTATCTAGATTGCTTTCATCAAATTATGTTGCTTGTCAACTTTTTCATTTCCCCAACTTTGTTAACTTTAAATACCAAATAATCAACCTCATTGACCCCTAGTCCCATATTCATGGAGACAAGAATTGAAACTTTTTCCCAGGTAAACCTTATCAGCACATATGCTTGTAACATTTCCAAATTTTGCCAGCTTTTTCAGAAGATTACATATCAATCTCATAATTAAGCACCAATTTGATAGCTAATGTCCATCTAATTCATCAATAACTGTAAACCACTAAATATTAAAACTCAACCTCAAAATCATAATTTCTTCAACCTAAATCCATCATAAACATCATCTTGGAAGATTGCCCCAAAAGTTTGTATAATCAAAAGCAATTACCACCAAAAGAAAGATATCAATGCTTCTAGATGGTAATATAAAATACAAACCTTCAGAAGGCATTCTTCCATTCTGATCCAGATGGTGCATCACGAGAGGATATGAAGCCATGTTCTGTGGCAGTGCTGAAGTTATATTCACAGTTGAGGACGATTCTACTTGCTTACCCTGAAGAAGAATGAACTTTAGAATACTGGTTTTTCAATCACGTTACATCCTAAAGGTATTATCATGGAATCAAAACAGGAATTCCAGTTATGGGATTCATCTTAGCTATTTCAGGCACAGAGAATTTACTTGAGTTGATTTTTGGTCATAATTAGCGGTTTTGTTTGTAATTTGACTTGAAGGAAAGAAAGGAATTGAGAGAAACTGTAGTTCTTTCCAACAAAAACGGATAAAGCTTCACAGCCAGAGGTGTGAGAGAAGTGCTCAATGGATTAGTGAACAAGATTGAATAGAAATGGGTTTCTCAGAATGTAGCTTCACTTAGGACTGCATCACTGAGCTTAAGACAATATTCTTAGGGCCCAGTGAGCACAGTACACACAGAACAGTCTCTGAACAAGAGATTGTTATAGCTGATACTGATGACAAAAAAGCATTTTATACAAAGTAACTAAGGAATCTCATGGAGCCTACCATTCTATGAACTTCTTCACAATAAACTTAACTAACATTTTTAAAACCATAGGGAGAAAAAGAAGAAAGAAATCAATATTAAGTATTGTATAAATTTACATAATTTATCACCGTACCTTCCTGTTGTTCACCTTCTTTCCTGTATTAAGTTCTTCAGGTTTCCTTCGCTTTCTCTGCCAAATTCCAAATATAACTTTATCTCTTAAAGAAGATGAATTTACAGATTTTAAATGTACAAATATAATGTCTATAAAATAAAATGTATAGAAGCACATTAACAGATTGGTTGGATTCAACTAGCTGAAGTCAATGCCAAAACAAATAATTGAACATTGCCGCCAGCATACCAAAACTAATACTTTTGCACGCCACTTTTTCATATTAGACCACATGAAAAAAAGATCAAAAATAGAACAAACAATGAAAGAAAGGCATCATTAAATAAAGGAGCTTACTTGCATCCACCTACACCTCAACGCAACATCACGTACAGTTTTATCAGGCAAGGTAGCTGCAATCTTTATGTACTTGATAATATTTGGTTCGTCTTTATACCTATATACATGTACATCAAAATAAAAATCAGCACTTAATCTCATTTCCAAAAGAAGACATACCTGATGAGTACCTCCTCAAAAACAGGTTCTACCATAACAAGCATAAGCAAAAACACACAGCAATTCTAGTAAAATCATCAGGGTAGCTACTAGCTACTACATAATATTAACTATGATAACTTGGATTAATTTACCTATATTAGTAGCACAATTTTATAACACTTGCATATACAGTAAGAAGCTGAATACGTCTACAAAAGGCTTCGAATAAAATGCAAGAATAATTAATTAAGACATACCTTTCAAGACTGTCTTCCAGTATATACTGTTCGTCAACAGACCATTCGGCAGCAAACCCTGCATCATGTTTGTGCCCTGAAACTGAATCAACAAGTAGGGAAGACCCGGGTTGGACTAATGAAGGGGGACTTGTAATCACACCGGAATTCCCATGCAATATCATGGCCGGCGGTGCAAAGTATCCACTCATCGGAATCACCTCAGAGCTACTGTCAATAGCAGCTGACTGGAAAGATACAGCCTGTCGATTCATTATAGGACTTAAACTATCTTCAGGATTAAACCCACTGTGCGCTTCTGTTTTCATTTTTTTCCCTTTCTTTTCCTCACACGATTTCACTCATAACTCCACTATGCCTCATAGTCTCATCATGGTTCATTTTTAGCTCGGAAGAACAAATCCAAAAGGAGAATCCAAAATAGCATATCAATCTCGAAAATTCAACCAAAACCGAATCCTGAAAACAAAAAAAACACATCAATAAGAAATGACAGCAACAAACAAAAGTAAAAGAGAGGGCGGAAGGTTACCTTTTCGAGAGTTGGTTTTGCTTTTCTTTCGTTCACAATATGCTAGGCTACTGCAATTAGCCAATTAGTGCTATTTTTTTGGGTGTGGGGTTCTTTGGTTTTGCTTAATATCACCATTTTCTTGCGGAGAGAACAAAGGATTAGCTTACACCTTCATGGCTCCACCCAATGGAAAAGCAAAGTTTTGCAAAGCAAAGCAATGAAAGGGATTCAAAGCAAAACAAAAAGAAGTTCGGGGATATTTTTTTGATAAAGTGAATTTAATTTTTATATGTAATTCATATTTGCTGAAATTGGAATTGAGCAACAGTGCGAATCCGTGTAAGCATTTGATGCCAATTATTGTAGACTTTCCACTTTTCCTTTCTTTTTTATTATATTTCTATTTTAATTTGATTTAAATATGTAGAATTCTTAAATTAAAATTATTTTTATATAATTTATTTTTAAATTAAAGTGAATTATTTTATATAATATTAATTATATAATTTGATTTATAATAGAAGATATAACTTTTAACGGTGGAAGATGATTGAAGTTTGCGGTCAAGAAAAAGATTAAGGTGAATCCTTTGAAATTGGGGGGAATTGGAATCAAATTCCACCACTTTTCCATGTTTGGTTCAAGTTTTCCAACGGAATTGGAATCCCTCATGGCTTCAACTTTCCATCAAATGAGGGAAAGTGAATTCCATCCAAGAATGGATGGAATTCAATTCCCTTGTTGGAGGGAATTGAAATTTGACCATGCTACACTCATCAATCTTTTGATAACTTATTCTTATATTGAATAAAAATATTTTTTATTATTTCGGGTCGGGTCGGGTTCATATATTCGGGTCGGGTCGGGTGAAACTTTATTTTGGTCGGGTCGGTTTTTTTAAGTGTGTATTCGGGTTGGGCCGATTTCGGGTTTAGGGTGAAAAATTCCGGACCCGAAAATATATATAATTTTACCTTATATATTTAGGAATAATTATAATAATACCCCTCTCTATATATATTTTTTTTCAATTAAGTCACTGTTTTTATTGAATAAAAATAATTTTTTATTATTTTGGGTCGGGTCGGGTTTGATTTCTAATTCATATATTCGGGTAGGGTCGGGTGAAACTTTATTTTGTTCAAGTCGGGTTGGGTTTTTTAAGTGTGATATTCGGGTCGGGTCGGGGTTTTTTAAGTGTGATATTCGGGTCGGGTCGGGTTCGGGTTTAGGGTGAAAAAAACCGGACCGACCCGAAAAAATATATAATTTTACCTTATATATTTAAGAATAATTACAATAATACCCTCTATATTTTTTTCAATTAAGTCAATGTTTTTATTGAATAAAAATATTTTATTATTATTTTGTTTCATGTCGGGTCGGGTTTCTAATTCATATATTGAATAAAAATAGTTTTTTGTATATTTTTTGGTAACTAATTAACATACTCCGATTGGAATGTATCGAAATATTGCTCTATCTTTTTGTAACTTATTAACATATTTTGATTGCGATGATTTTAACTTATGATGTTTATTAGCATGATTTTTATAATTTATTAAAATAAATAATCAATCAATAAAATGAAAATTTAATATTTTTTAATTTTTTATAATATATTACTACATATAAGTTGTAAAACAAACTAAAATAAAGCAAAAAAAACAAGAAGGATAATTCTGTCATTTTACATTACTGAAATCAAATTCATCTGACATGTCTGCAAACCAAACAGAATATGGAATTGGATTCCAATTCCATTTCCTGTCAACCAAACAGAATATGGAATTGGATTTTAATTTCTGACAGATTTCAATTCCTTCACAGATTCCAATTCTCTCATAAACATTCCAGCAAACCAAATACCAAACTTCACGATTTTCACTCCGATTGTGCAATTTAATTATTCTAATTTTTACTATTTAAAAATAAATAAATTTATTATTAGATGGATAATATATCTTTTTAATTGTCTAAGCTTAAAATAATTTAAAATAATTAATAAAAATTATTTTATTTTTTATAGTTGTTAGATTAAACATTAATGATTGGATTGAATTGAATTGAATTGAAGAAAAAGAGAAAAATAAAATTTTTAAATAAAAAATAATATACAAAATCTAATTTAATTATAAAAATATAATATAATATTTATTATAAATTTTAAAACAATATAAATAGCTTTAGAATATTTAAAACTTTTCAAATTTTTTTTTTTTGCATAAACTTCTTTTTCATTGTTATTTTACTTTAGGTTTGATTTTCCATGGAAAGAAAAAGCAGGCATCTCAAGTTGCATGGAATGCCTGGTTTATATTACCCCCAAAAAAAAGTTCAAGTTGAAGATACTGTTAAAATAGTACATTTCTCAACTTTTTTTAACAATGAAAATTAGGTCGACCCTTAATAATACTTTATTGTATTTTTTTAGGATAAAGTACAAAAATAGTCCTCCGATAATATAATATTATTTTGTTGAGTCTTTGACTATTAAAAGTTATAAAGTAGTCCTCAGACTATAGAGAGTTGATTTGTTGAGTCCCTCGACTATCAAAAGTTACAAAATGGCCACCCCGACTATTCATTATATTCCAAAGTCGTATTTTTATGTTAAAAAATTAACGATCGTTTAAGTTGGACGCTAACTGAGGTATGTTAGTCGTTTGAGATTATGATATCAGATTTTATCATATCTCAGTTAGCAGGTTAACGTCTAGTTCAGACTGTTGTTAATTTTTTTAACGAAAAATAATGAGTTTCAAACCTAATGAAAAGTCAGTGACCATTTTGTAACTTTTAATAGTCGAGGGACTCAACAAAGTAACTCCCTATAGTTGGGGATTATTTATAATTTTTAATAGTCGATAGACTCAACAAACCATTATCCTATTATCCGGAGAGCATTTGTGTACTTTACCCCTATTTTAAAAATAATTTTAATAATTCCATTGCTTAAAATAGTATATGATATTGATTTTTCAGATGGGCTGAAATCTAAATATGAAGAAGCAAACAATGGCCATAACATTTAGTACCAAGAGCCCATCTTATCTATATTTCTACGTATGAAGAAGCAAAAGTGGAAAATGCTCACGTGCGGTAGTTTTAATATACGATTAAAAAAATGTGATATCGATTTTATTATTGTTTAAATAAAAAATCGATAAAAAATGACTGGAAACATTATTAGCGCTATCGGTTTTGTTATTATTGGGTGTTTTATCGGATTTGGTAAAAATGACCAGAAACATTATTAGACGCTATCGGTTTTATTATTGTTGGGCATTTTTACTGGAAATGTTAAAAAAATTGATGTTTTAGGTATAAAAATAATAATATTTTAAATAATTTTTTACTGATTTTATTATTTAAACAATAACAAAACGGTTAATACCTTATTTTAACCTTATATTAAAGTGTCACACTGTAAAACTTCTTAGCAAAAGTAAACCAAAATTAATTTTCTTTTCCTTTTAATACCTTCTATTTTTCTTTTATATTTACTTTTCTGTTCCATGTTTTTTCTCGTTTGATTACATAAATATTAGTATAATAAAAAATTAATTAAATTATAATACTGGTATAATTATGACATCAAAAACTAACATGTATTTATGTATAATCAAATCCCAATATAATTATATAATTCTTTGAAATTTATATTCAGTAATATAAATATTATTAAAGTAGTATTTCAATAATGTCATTTTGCATCTTTGGTCTAGAAATGTGTCATCATCCATAATATCATTCACATCACTCTAATATTTCTCAAACTTCTTTTACATGTTACTATTGGAAATGATAACGTGCGACAGTTTTAATATACAGTTTAAAAAAGGCGTTACTGGTTTTGTTATTATTTAAATAACAAAATCGGTAAAAAAATTACTAGAAATATTATTATTTCTACCTGTTTTGTTATTTTTTTCTACTGATTTTGTTATTGTTTGGCATTTTACCGGAAATGTTAAAAAACATTGATGTTTTAGGTAAAAATATAATGTTTTAGGTAATTTTTTATCAGTTTTATTATTTAAATAACAACAAAACCGATAATACCTTTTTTAATTATATATTAAAGGTGTCGCACTGTAAAACTTCCATGTTACCATTCTTGCTCGAAATAGTGTTAAAAGTAAATGAATTAATGAGAGAGAAAGCAAAAATGAATTATGGTGTTAAACTTTTTTTTTTGTTTAAATCTATTAAATATTTTATTTTCAAATAAAATTCATTCTATTATTTAAATATGTATCCATATATCAAAAAGATCATAATTTATAGTTAAATGCAAAATTGTAATTTTCAAATATAAAGATAATAGGTAATCAATGAGATATTAATTTTAGACGTCGTGAGGGTGCTCATTCTTTCTTATGTGCAATTAATTCTCGAACTCGGTTTAATTTTTCTCTGGTTTTCAAACGTAGACTTTAAAATAATCTTTTTTAGAAGAGAACTTTCAAAAACTTTTCTTTTAAAAAAAAGTTTACGTTATAAGTGTTTAATCATATATAACCTTAGATAATATCGACATTTAAAACGCATTTTTAAATGAAAACTTTACGTTTCTAAAAAATCCATATATATCGACATTTAACTAACTTGATAATATCCGTCGTGGTATGTACATAATTTTTTATTGCAAATTGATAAAGAACCTAAATATTCTTCCTTGTGGTGCAAGAATCAACCCCAGAAACAAAAATCTTTTATATTAAATCCTTTGCTTTTTCTATTGTGTGATACTCGTAACTTGGATTCTTCATTCAAGAATTAGTATACAATTCTATTCTTATTTGATTCCATGAATGTCGGCTTTGGTGGGGTAGGCGTAGGTATATAAAAAAAATCAACTCCATTCCAAATGATAATACATTTATTTGAAAAAGTTTATTATTTCGAATTAATTAATTATATCAATTTTGAACGATTTATTTCTTTTAATTTAGATGTAAAATCACAATTAATTACCAGATAATGACGATCAATAGATAATATGGTGTGCTCTTGGTTTTTCTTCTTTAATGGTTAAGTTTCTATTTTGGAATTGTCAAGGAGCTGAAAGCTCTAATATTAGACGTTATTTTCGTGAACATTGTCGGACAAGTCGACCTGGAATTGTTGCTTTGCTGGAAACTCGGATTTGTGGAACGACTGCAGATAAAGCTGTTCGGGCATTCGGTTTTCAAAATTCTTTTAGAGTTGAAGCTCATGGGTTTAGTGTTGGAATTTGGATCCTTTGGAAAGACATGATAGATGTTGAAATTATAACAGTTTCGCATCAATCTATTCATGGTAGATGTTGGTATGCTGAAGTAGCCCGATGGTTATATTTTACGGCAGTTTATGCGAGACCTCAAGTGGAGAAACGACGCTTATTATGGAGGCATCTTAGGAACCTTGCTCAAGGAGAGAATGAAGCTTGGATCATGGGCGGTGATTTTAATTCCATTCTTCGCCTTGATGAGAGGGATGTAGGCTCTAGTCGTGGATCAGGAGTTAATAAGTCGTTTGCAGATTTTATTTTTGATATGGGATTAATCGAAGTGGACTATAAGGGATCTCCGTTTACGTGAAGGAGATGCAATCTTGGTAAACGGTTAGATCTTTGTCTTATGAATAATTGTTGGGCTGATGGATTCCCGGGTACTATGGTGTTGCACCTTGACAGAGTGGGTTCAGATCATTGTCCCCTCCTTCTGCATATACAGAGTATCACGAGGATACATGGGATCAGGCCGTTTTGCTTTATTGTCGCATGACAAGATCATCCTCAATTCAAGAGCCTTATTTCAGAAGCTTGGAATAGAGATGTAGATGTCTTAACCAATATCAATTCTTTCAAGAGAAAAGCTACCGAATGGAACTTGGAGGTGTTTGGGCATATAGAGAGGAAGAAAAGAGAACTACTAGCATGAATACGAGGTATTGATAAAGACCTAAACTCGGGTTATTCTCGGCAATTAGTGGAATTGCAATTCAAGTTGAAAAGTGAACTGGAAGAGGTCATTCAAAATAAGAAAAGTTTGTGGTTTTAGAAGTCTAGAAATGAATGGGTTCTCCATGGGGATAAAAACACAAAATTCTTTCATGCATGCACGATGATGAATATAACACCCCCAACCCGTACTCGACCCAGATACGAGTCCGAGGTGCCACATTGACTTTTCAAAACTTGTACATCCATAAAAACTATACGAAATTTTAAACTTTTATTAACATAAAAACCATATTTACATGACTGAGTTCGACACATTACAAAATCGATCAGAGCATGCGTAAATTACCCTTTTTCATTTTACATGCCAAAACTTTTAACTTAACAAAACACATACTATTAATTTACTTCTGATCTGATCCTTGAGTGAAGATATGCTACTCCGCCAATCCTAAGGCTGATCTCTTGCTTTTCGATACCTACGTGTAAGTCACTTACACGCTAAGTCATAGACTTAGTGAGGCATAGAATAATATAATAATGCATTTCCTATGAATATGAACATGGAAGTAATTACTCATGTAATAATCATGTAATAAAATTAATCATGTCACAATTATGATACAGTATAAACAATAATAATGTAGTAACATATACTAATGTAAATACATTTGATATCTTTTATAGGCCCATGTATATTCTTGAGAACTTAAGGTATGTGAGTACATTGAGGTTGTGCACTATGCTGTCACCACAGCTTGTATGGGGTCCCACTAGGTGCATGTGAAATTTATCCCGAAGGACCTATGAAACCTCGACTCTTGGCATGCCAACTATACCCCTAGCTCTCATATCACATAACATGGGCATTATTGTTATTATTCATACGTTCATGGATTCATATCATTACTCCTGTATTCACATATGTCTTTTCTTTTATCACAGAGCACATGTACATATAATTATCCATTTCGTATCATATAACATATGTACTTTCATCTATTCATATGAATCATATAACATTTAACAATTACTATATATATATATATAACATATTTGACTTAGGCATATATTTATAGTAACCATCATGTATGCATGTTCATAATGACTATACTATAACTACTAATCATAGGAATAGACTTATCACAAGTCATAATTCCTTTGAACTACATCTCTAGTATGCACTCTGTAACACCCATAACCCGTATGATTATACCTATACATATTATAGATGTCACCCGAATTTCTAAAACCATTTGCATTTCAAAATCGATTTAAAATTTATTTTCTTAAAATGGTAACTGATATTATAAAAATATCATATCATATAATTTATATTTCGTTATAAACAAATTTAATTCAAAAGATTTTTTTATGAATAGTACCATGAACAGTGAACAGTGAAGAGTGACAGTGGGGGAATCGATTCTTGTAGCAGGGGAATCGGTTCCTGTAGCAGGGGAATCGGTACCCCTTAAGAAATCTGGAAATTTTCTTAAAACGTGGGAATTGTTCATTGCTACAGTAACTGCTACAATAACTACTACAATAACTTTCGAAAATACATATAAATTCATAAAAATTAACCTTTCATCACTATAAATTTACCATTTTGTTTCCAAATTTATTCAACAAATCAAATTGAACATTAATAAATACATGCCACAAATAAAATCAACATTACATCATAGGATGTCTTACAGATATTGAAATATACTCCTCGATGCTCGATGTCATTCCGAACTCTTTATTCTACTACTGACTTTTTACCTACGCGTGAAAATCATCACACGCTAAGTATATACTTAGTGAGGCAATTTAAGACAATAAACAGTGCAATACAATTCATGCATGAATTTCAATGTCCAAATCAAAATGCCATAAAATCATGTTACCAACATATACAATATTTTACTATGATCAAAATAATATAAAATCTCTTACCCTTTATCCCATAAGCTCGTAAGCTTATTTTACCAAAATACTTACCATTTAATACCATAAGCTCGTAAGCTTATTTTATCAATATACTTACCATTTATTCCATAAGCTCTTAAGCTTATTTGTACCAATATACTTACCATTTATTCAATAAGCTCGTAAGCTTATTTTACCAGTACACTTGCCATTTTTTTCATAACCATATACCATAGACAATAGCCCAATATACAACCCTGAGGACCCTGGGTACACGAGTCAAATATAAGCACCGTAGTGCTAACCTGTATGACACATAAGGTCATGTCCACCATCTGTACTAGGTATCCTTAAATACAGTCCCGTATGGCATATAAGGTCGTACCCACCATATACACTAGGTATCCTTTAGTGTATCCCGTATGCAGCCTGTTGCTAGATTCTATGGCATGTCAACTATACCCTGTCCCTCAATGACTTACTTGGGCGTACAATATATTTTATTTGATCCATCCATGACAAAGTTTATTATCAATATTTAACATTGGGCAGTTCATACCCGAAATAACATTCATGATAAAAATCATATATGTTCATGATAACATCATATACAAAAATCAGGGATCAATGCATTTTATTTTCAACCTTTGACATATTTAGAATATATCAAATATATGATAAATGACATAAATATCATGTCAACATAAACAAGGTTAACTTATCGCAAGTCTTCCTGATGATGTATAAAACATCCATGTATAATGTCATACATGTATTGCACTCACCTTGACACTTTATAATTTCCCAAAATATGAGCCTCACTATTGTCCACAATAACTCTTTTCTTTTAAACTCGAATCGTTTTGAACACTGAGTAAATCATGATCTGTACAAAATATAGATTCATATCCATATCTATGTTAGTATTGTACTAACATAAATACATTTCCAAATAAATTCCATAATCATACTTGAAACTCATTTTCTATCAAAATACTCAATACTTAATAATTCCTTTTAACATTAAAACCAAGTTTTCGTATTTATACAAAATGGTCATTCACCATTTTACCACTTAAATTCTTAATACTAATAATTCCAGCATTGAAATTATTTCCATTCAAATGCTTTTACAAAAGCATAATTACATTTAAGTACCCCAACTATGAAATTATTGTACTTAAATCACTAATCTTTTCAAACTTCTAAACTAGTCATATTTCACATTCTAACACTCATTTTAATTCCTAAACAACAATTTCCAGCATAGTACATCAATTATACAACACTTACAACAACCCATCAATTTTCCAGAATTTACGAATTGATCTCCCAACTTTTCAAAATTTACGAAATGGTCCCCAATTTTTCTAAGACTTGTAAAATACTTCCTTCATCATTTCCAAACCATATATAATTTTTCCATAATTTTTCTTACTCAAACAATCCATGGCCAAAACTTAAAGAACAAGTTCTAGAAAGATTAAACATGTTCTAATCATCACACATTCTTGAATATGAATCTACTACCTCACAAACATCAAGATCCATCATCAATTTCATGATCCCTTATATGAACACAAACCCTTAGATTTGGGATCTTTGAACACCAACAAGATTATCATACAATATTGGTACCAAAAGATAGCGTTTTTCACATATAACAATTTTCTTTTTACAACTTACTCAAAATCCTAAGTAAATTGCTTGAAAATTGAGTTGAAGTTTTCACTCACCTTTGAAGAACACCCACGACAGCTTGGAGAAGAAGATGAGCTGAAAATGCTCCACCATCATTGATATTCTAATGTTAAATAATCTAGCATAGGGCTTAATATATTATAATGGAATTTTTTATTCAATTCAATAGGAAATTCCATTTTTGCCATTAATGAATCTCCATATTCACCATAAAACCATGACAACTCATCCTTATCATCTTTCAAAGTCAAAGATGAATTATTTTGACTTTGACTCACAAAATTGCCCATGAATTTTCAAAAATTGCGTTTTATTCACTAAATTCCACTGTTTCAGTCAAATCTGAAAAATTGCACATTTCCAAACCAAATTTCTCTGATCCAAAATATTAAAATAATATTTCCAACCATTTTATAACATCCTTCAAATTTTTGTAAAATTCCAATTCGATCCGAATTACCAATTCTTTATCACTTTAACCCTTTTCTAATTTTTTTCTTTACTAAAATTCCAAATCCAAAAATATGATTTCTATAAAACCCCACTCTCAAGAGTAAACTATCTATTTATGAAATAAATTAATTTTAGGAAATTATCACTTAATTCCCTAAACTTTTTCCCAATTTTCTACTTTGTCCATCAAACTTTCAAAATTTGCATTTTGGTCATTATCTAAATTTTTGGGGTATTACAATTCTCCCCTCCTTAAAAAAATTTGTCCTCGAATTTTTAGAACTTTCTATGAAAACCCTAACTCCCTTTTATAAGGATTGCACTTTCCATTGTAAATTCATAACCATAATTTATGTGGTTGTACGAACTGGTAAGACATACCCACGCCTTAACCATAAACATCTTCTGCGATAGCTCAAAATGAATAATCCGTGCCTACACCTTATACAAAAACCTCTTCTGGTCTTGCCACTTCTTGAATTCCAATTTTTCCTCCTTCATTTGGGAATTTTGTGAAGATCATGCAAATCATTATATTTTGAACATGTTTAATCCAAATCTTCAACT